CAAACACTGTATAGATGTCATTATCTCCACTCTACTTTATGATAATTGTCACGTTCTTATAAACTGAATAATTTAATGTTTATAAATTTGAGTCTTTAAACATTAAACCGTGTTTGAGGGGGCGGAGCTTGTCCGCTGTCAGCTGACATATGAAGCAGGAAGTCATGTGACCTGAAGCGCAGTAACAACAAAGATGGCGGCGGCGGTGATGAGAGGATTCTGTTCTCTGATGATTCTGGTTTTTACTTCGAGTCAAAGTTTGTTCGAGCGACAGGTGAGAAAAACCGCGATAACGACACTGGTGAGAAAAACCGCGATAAGTTAGTGAAGTCAAATCTGAGCACGAGTCAGAAAACAACAAACTCAGGAAGTGAAACTTCGTTCACTTTGTTCCTGTTTCAAATTAAAAGCGTTTGTTGAAACTAGTTGAACTGTTGAAAACGTTTCAGTCGGTTGATCTGATCTTTAGATCTGGATTCACAGATCTTTTTAAGATCGTCTCTGATCAAATATTACAAATGTCAAATGGCAAATAAATCAACTAATTTATAAAGAATTGGTTCAATAGGAAGTGATGTAATCATTCTTTATGAAATAAAGTAGCTGTGACTGTAATGCAGCCACGTACATCTCAAGTGACATTTAGTTATCTTTAATTTGAAAGTTTTTGTTTTTTAAGAGGAAATATGAAACTATGAACTGATTCTGTAGAATTTAAATTTAATGCTGTGATTAGATTTCCATCGTTGTTGATTATAACTGATCCCCCCCCCCGTCCTTCAGTTGTTAGTAACGATGAACCCCGGCCTGAAATCGCCGCCTCCTGGTGGCGACCTACTGAGTGTGAGAGCTTTGGGAGACAACGATACACTGCACTACCTGTTCTGCAGCCAGGGGGCGCCAACGCTGCTGCTCATCCACACCAACTCTTCTTCTTCTACTGTCCAGGTCAGAGTTGATCTCAGAAAACGGAAAATATTTCTGATGACTGAGTTTCAAAACTATTCTGTTCATTTTCATTTTTTAAATAAACGCCTTGATCGCTCGCTTTAAATGTTGCACAGACGATCCCACAGGGGGCGATGTCTGGAGGAGTTTTCCAGCCTCGGTTTCGTTGTTGTTTGAAAACTCTAGCTTGTGTTTGAGTCTGAGCAGAATTGTTTTCTGGACCGGTGAGGTCCTCCTAATGCTCTGACGTGTTCCCACGTAGGTGGATTGGCCTCAGTTTTTGGCTCGTAACACCAGCGGCAGCCTGAGGGTGGAGCCGGAGCGCAGCATCCTGTACAGCACTGCTGTCGTCTTCAGCAGGGTCAGAAACATTAATACATTCAATCAATCTGTCCACCTTGAATCAGTCTGTCCACCTTTAGTTTTCATCGCTGAATCTTGTTCCTGTCTCAGTTGCTGGAGTACGATGACGTTAATGACACGGCCGATTCGACCTCTGACCTTTTCCCACCGTACGAGCTGCAGAACTTCACCTGGTCTCGTCTCAACCTGACGGATGCGACCGCCCGGCTCTGCGGCGCCGTCACAAACGTCTCCAGTGGGGCGCTCTGCCTGCAGGTCTGTTGGCATGGTGACACCAGGGTCACATGAAAAATAGGATATGATGTAACTTAACAGGATGTGATGTCATCCACACAGAGGGTCGTATTTATTTAAAAAATCAAACAAAATGATTTATTGATCTTTTTCTTCCAGTTGTCAGTATTTGGCTCTGATGGGCGTGGTCAGCCATGGCCCCGCCTCATACACACAGCTGACTCCTCCCAGTTGGAGGTGTGGCTTGACGGTGTTTCGCCGCGAGCAGCTCGTTCCAGGTTCCTATTGGAGCTGCAGGCGGTGGGCGGGGCTTATCCTCTGAGCAGGGTGGAGGTTCATCGATCGATCGACGACGAGTATACGCCGTCAATATTCAAGGTAATCAATAATTCAACCAAACTTTACTGATACAACAGGAAACACAAAGATCAGAATCCTTTCGTCAGAATAATTAGAGGATCAATAACTGATCTGTTTCTGTCACCATGGAAACAAGCAGGGACGTTTAATGTAGACTCTTGATTTTAGATTCCCGTTGATCTGATTCTCGACCTCTCAGGCGTCTCATTGGGTTTCGTCGGCGAACGGCAGCTCTGATGTCGAGAGTTTTGTGCAGTGGAAGCCGGTGGCATACCGTCGGTCTGATCCCGCTCTGGAGGACGCCACGCCATGCAGCCATTCCGACCCCCGGCCACAGAGCGCCGAGACTGTGGCGGCAGCGTCTGCTCTGATCCGAGCATTTTACTCAGAACCGGAAACGTTCGGGCTCAACGTGAGCTTCGGCCTCGCTGGAGAACCGTTCTACAACAGCACCAAGTTCCTCAGCTGGTCAGTCACCTGCTCTCTGATTGGATGATTTCTGGTGAGTTGAATCCTCCTCCTGACATGTCGCCACTCTTCCTCAGGACCGTGTTGGTGGGCGTCGGCTCGCCTCCTGTCGACTCGTTCTCGACGATGGTTGTCGTCATCATGGCGGTTGGTCTGGGAACTCCTGTGATCCTCTTGTTGCTGGGCGGACTCTGGGTCTGTGTGCGTAAGAAGGCTGCAGATTCAACGACAGCTTATGAGCCAATCAACTGAGGACCGGGCCGCAGCCAATGAGATCACAGAGACTATTTTTTTTAGACATCACTCTACTGAAGACCCGCCTGACCGTCCAGACAGCCAATCAGAACCCAGGTTTTTAATAAATTAATTTATTGATT